GAGTTTCCTGCCGAGCTGATTTTGCTCGCTAAGAAGCAAGTCGCCAACCTGACCTTTGCTCGCAGACCTTAAAGTTCCTTGTAGAGCTGATTTTGCTCGCCAATAAGCAAGTCGCCAAACTGACCTTTGCTTGCTGACCTTGAAGTTCTTGGTCGAGCTGATTTTTCTCACCAAGAAGCAAGTCGTTGAGCTGACCTTTGCTCGCTGACCTTGAAATTCCTTACTGAGCTGATTTTGCTCGCCAAGAAGCAAGTCGCCGAACTAACCTTGCTCACCAACTTTGGAGCTCCTTACCGAACTGATCTTGCTTGCCGACCTTGAAGTTCCTTACCGAGCTAATTTTGCTCGCCAAGATGCAAGTTGCCGAGCTAACCTTGCTCGCCAACTTTGGAGTTTCCTGCCAAGCTGATTTTGTTCTGCAAGAAGCAAGTCGCCGAGTTGACCTTGCTCGCTTACTTTGGAGTTCCTTGCCGAGCTGATTTTGCTTGCCAAGAAACAAGTCACCGAGCTGACTTTGCTCGCCAACTTTGGAGTTCCTTGTCGAGCTGATTTTGCTTGCCAATAAGCAAGTCACCGAGCTGACCTTATTCAGTAACCTTAGAGTTCCTTGCCAAGATGATTTTTCTCGCCAAGATGCAAGTTGCCGAGCTGACCTTGCTTGCTAACTTTGGAGTTTCCTGTTAAGCTGATTTTGCTTGCCAAGAAGCAAGTTGCCAATCTGACCTTTGCTCGCTAACCTTGAAGTTCCTTACTGAGTTGATTTTGCTCGCCAATAAGCAAGTCACCGAGCTAACCTTTGCTCGCCGACCTTGAAGTTCCTTATCGAGCTGATTTTGCTCGCCAAAAAGCAAGTCGTCAAGCTGACCTTTGTTTGTCGACCTTGAAGTTCCTTACTGAGCTGATTTTGCTCGCCAAGAAGCAAGTCGCCGAGCTAACCTTGCTCGTCCATTTTGGAGCTCATTGCCGAGCTGATTTTGCTTGCTAAGAAGCAAGTCACTAAGCTGACTTTGCTCGCCAACTTTGGAGGTCATTGCCGAGCTGGTTTTGCTTGCCAATAAGCAAGTCACTGAGCTGACCTTGCTCGCTAACCTTGGAGTTCCTTGCTAAGCTAATTTTGCTCGCCAAGATGCAAGTTGCCGAGCTGACCTTGCTCGCCAAGGAAGTTACCAAACTGATTTTGCTTGTCGAGAAGTAAATCGCCGAGCTAAGTTGGTTAAGTGGTTAACACGAAAACCGAAAAAATATTTTGAAAAATTTGAGCTATGAAGATTTGTGCAGCAGTACAACGCGGGGCTCGAAAACAAGTGATGAAACTTGACCGAGCTATCATGAAGCTTAATGACAAACTGAGCTGAAATGAAGATTATACAAGAACAAAGTAATCCCAATCAGGTTGTAACCGATGGGATTAAGGGGCCATTGAGAGAGGAAAATCCAATGAGAAGGAAAGGCCGAGCTATGTATGTGCTCGATCGAGAAGTGTAGGCCAAGCTATGTGTGCAATTGAGGGGAATTTACATCGAACAAGGGACCGGACTACATGTGGATTGGGCTGACCTAAGAATAGTCCGAGCTAATGACATTGTCCTTTGTATAGACCGAGCAATATTTGGCTGAGCCGTGGTTGACCAGTTGGACAACTCGGAGTTGAGCCGATTGATGGAAGTTGGTAAACGGCGTTGTACTGGGTTATGGGTAGCACGACAGGAGTCGCTACGTAGCCTAATCAGAATGTGATGAGAGGAATCCACCAAGGGCACGTGTCAATACCGTTTGGCGGTTTGACCAATGTTGTTTAGCGGTATTGATGCGTACACGTGTAAGAAATAGAGAGGGCAGTATAGCCGCTCGTCCAGAAGAGAACTACAGAAGTAGTGCGCGCACAACCTTGGGAGGTGGGGCAGCAGCCTAAAGAAGGCACGTGACCTTACACTCAAAAAAGCTAAGCAAATTCTACCAACTCTCTTTCTCTACATTCCCTTTCTCTCTAAAGTGTGCTAATTTGATCGTCGGAAGGGTTTTTTGACAGCACACCCACTGAATAGCTCACCGTCGTTTTGTTTTCAGGTTGAACAACTCTGTTTGGAGCTACATAGAGCTTGAACCTAAGGAGTATGGAGAGCAACTAATATTTTCTTCCCATACACCTAGAAAAAGTATTAACCATTTTTTAGTGAAATATGTTGGATCAGCGTTTTCCATGTATAAAATTTAAGAATTCCATGGTGCTCCAAAAGATATAAAAAAGAAGAAGGTGAATTGATTAAAATATTTAGAAATACCAAAATAAATACTATCCAAGAAAATTAATCTATTGAGCAAGATAGGCCAAAATCAGTGTATGAATATGACGATTATTATAATTTTTTTCCACACATGTCATGGTTATCAATACAACATTAAAGAATTATATTATTTATTTATTTATTTTTGATAAAAAAAAGTCACATTTTTTGGGAGTTTCTATTTAAACTTTAATTTTCTTTTAAATATTAATTATTGAAGAAAAAAAAGATATCAACTACCAATTTCTTTAAAGTGCAATTAATTTTTGTAATTAATATTTGAATAATTCATTTTTGGTCAAAAATTATATTTAAGTGTCGACTAAGGGAAAAAATGGTTTGGAAATAATTTAAGGCCACATTTTTTTAGCTATAAATTTAGAAGTAAAAAAAAAAAATTATTTATTTTAAGTTAAAAATGTCAAAGGTTACATTAGCTTTTTCACCATATTTTGAGAAGTAGAGCCAGTTTTTAAGTTTTTTTTTTTTTGATTTTTTTTTTAAAAATTATAAAAAAATAAAGAGGTGATGTAATCCAGAAAAACAAAAAAAACAAAAAAATGGCTTTTTAACCCCATTGACAAACTAGGCCAAAAAGGCGACTAATTTACTATATTTGGTTGGAGTTTTAAAAAATAATTTTTTGAATCCATTTATTCTAGACACACTTAAAAAGAATAAAATTTGTGATTAAAATTCACTAAATACAAAAAAAAAATACAAAAATTCAATATATTTTCATATTTTTTTTATATTTATTGAATTTAAAAAAATTTACAAATATTTTACTTTTTAAGTGTATTTAAATTAAGCAGATCTAAAAAGTGAAAAAAAAATTGATTAAAATATTAAAAAAATTTAATAAAAACAAAAAAATAAAGATTGAAAATTTAAAAATTATTTTTAAAACCTCAAAACTTAACAAAATGTTAGCTCTTTTTTTTTTATTTATAAATAAGAATACTAAAATATTAAAAAAATGATAAATTACAAATATAGTTCTAGAAATTTACTTAAAATACAGATTCTCTTCTATAATTTAAAAAAATTATGAATACCCAACATTCTTAACTAGTCTTGTATACAACAATACAATTATTTCAATTGTTAATTAAAATATATTTATAACATCATTAAAAAATATTAATTGACTTAATGATTGATTAATAAAATGAGTAATATGTTATATGATCATAAACTTGAAGGGAAGAAACGTAATTTTCAAAATGTAATTATTTCAATTCATATATTAGGATAAATTGCAAATACATTTTCTGAACTTTACTTAAAATATGAATTAGCTCCTGTAATTTTGGAAATTACATTCCTTCTGTTGAAATTTCTAATTTCATAACAAGTGATCTATTTTATTAATAAATTATTAAATTAATTAAAATTTTTTAATGATGTCAGAAATTTATTTCAATTAATAATTCAAGTAATTTTATTATTGTATAGGAGGATAATTAGAAATTTTATTTTTTTTAAATTATTTTTATTAAATAAAACATTATGATAATGAAGTATTTCTAATTTTTTAAACTACAAGGTAATTCGTATTTTAAGTTAATACCAATAAGCCGCCATCCCAATGTACTCTCTTGTTTCGTTTGGTATAAACTTTTTCATCCCAGCTAAAAAAATTTCTATTTGGAATAAATTTTTGATTTTTTTTTGTAGTTAATTTGATAATTATGAGAGAAAAAGTAAAATAATTATAACTTAAATATGATATTTTGTCTTATTAACTAAATTAATCTATTTATTTTTATTGACTAATTTATTTTGAATAGCCTAAATAAAATGTACTTTTTAATTTTTTATGAAAAAATATACAAAAATAAAAAAATAATCAGCGTGTTTGGTTTAAGTTTTCTGAAAATTGAGTTTATTTATTTATTTAATATTATTATTATTTTTATTTTAGTGAATACTTTTAAAATTTTAAGCAATTTTTTTACTTTTTTAAATGCACCTTATTTAGATTTATCTAAATAGTAAAATAGTTGTGAAAAAACATTTAAAAAAATTAATAGATATACAAAAATATGAAAAATGTATTGAATTTTCGTTATTTTTTTATTATATTTTTGGTATTTAGTGAATTTTTTAAAGATTTTTTCTTGACAAGTATTATACTTTTTAAGTGTATTTATATTTACAAAAAATAAAAAAATAAAAATTTTTAAAAAGTATTTTTGAGAAACCAAAATCAAACAAGTTGAATATGATAAATAAATAAATAATAATAATAATAATGCACCCAAACCCCCTCACAACCAAACGAAGCCTTATTTTGAAAATATGATAAAAAGTGACTTTTTGACTTTTAACGAAATTTTTGCTTTTTTTAGACAAATTATTTGAAAAGTTGATAAAAAATTACTTTTGATTTTTTTGATTAATATTTATTTATGATGTCAAATTACAATAAAATGACCAAACGACTACCATTTATTTATAATTTCACCTATATAACACATTTTAATCCAAGAAAGGATAGAATTATAATTTTACCGTTGACTAAAAAGTAACTTTTCAAAATAAAAAAATGACAAAAAAATCAACTTATAACTTTTGTTACAAACTAAGTAACTAAAAACAATGTTGCCAAAACACAACACTCCTATATAATAATAATGAACACATGGCCTCACTAGACAAATGCTATGAATTGAAGGGACTCCAGGTGTGTGTGTAATTGCCTCAAATAGCCTCCATTTCTGACACCCACCCACCCACCCACACCCACATTGTTCTCATCGACACCACCACCACCACCGACCACCGCGAACCAGCATGCAGGCTCTCCAATCCTCCTCTCTCCTCCGCCCATCTCCACTAAACCCACTTCTCAAATCCTCCCCAAACCTCCCCACCAATGCCAAACCCTCCTCCACATCCACCCCCAAGAGGACTCTCCCATTCATCTCTGCTTCCGCTCCGAAACGCGAATCCGATCCCAAAAAACGGGTCGTAATCACGGGTATGGGTCTCGTCTCCGTCTTCGGCAACGAAGTTGATGCTTACTACGACAAGCTTCTCGCAGGCGAGAGTGGAATCAGACTCATTGACCGGTTCGATGCGTCCAAATTCCCTACCCGATTCGCTGGCCAGATCCGCGGGTTCAACTCTCAGGGCTACATTGATGGCAAGAACGATAGGCGTCTCGATGATTGTCTCAGGTACTGCATTGTTGCTGGGAAGAAGGCTCTTGAAGCTGCTGATCTTGGGGGTGATAGGCTCGGAAAGGTATGTGATTGGCTTGGCTTGGAATTTGATGGAAAACTTTTGAATTTCACTTTTAATTGATTGTTTGATTGCTTAGTGATTTTTGGTTTCTGGGTTTTGATGGGTGTGTGTTTGAATCATCGATATATGTATATATATATGTGTGGATTGGTTCTTCACGAATTTGTTGTAGAAGTGAACATTGTATTGCCCATTCAATTTTTTGTTTTTGTTTTTGTTTTTTGGGTAGCTAAATTGGGGTTTTCCTTTTGTTTTTTCCCTTCTTGTTTCTTGTTTTTGTTTTTAAAACCAACAAATTTTGTCTTCTTGAATTTTTTTTTTAAAAAGATTAATTACACGAAGGCCATTCTACTATTAGCGAATATCACCTCACCCTCGACTATGAACCCTACATATTGACCCGATCAACTATAAAAATTATAAAAATACACCCCTTTTAAGGTGGTATGTAGGGTGAAAGTGATAGTTTTTAGGGTCAAAATGTATGGGTATATGAGGGGTAAATATTATTGGTTGAGGGTCTTGGTTTAACTAATCCTTGTTTGAATGTAAAAGCAATTCTTTCAGAGCTATACCTTTCATTTTTTTGGGTACCATATGGTTTTGTCTCATATTTTGATTCTGTCTAGAAAGTTCTATCTATCTCACACACATTTATTGGTTAGAAAATTGTTGCTGCACGATTTTGTCAGTATTTATATATTAGTCAGAAATTAAAATTGATCTGGACTGAATTGCTTGTTTAATTTGCTCTATATCTGTTCTAGTAGTAGTACCATGCTTTGCTTCATGCATCTTTCATGTATGCATAGATCGATGTGACTGTATGGGTGAATTTATTTTACACGATTCACAAATGTCAATTTTTGAATGTTAGGAGAATATATTATGGTTTTTAAAGAATTTTATGGTTGGTGGGATATGGAGCCCCGCATATCTTAATATGAAGCCAAAGTCTTCCTAATTAGATGTGATGTAATCACGGTCTTGTATAAGAATTACTGATTATGAAGTCCTTTGGGCAAACATTAAACTTAACTGGCTTTCTTGTCCTTGAATCGGGTTAGTTGCTATTTGAACAATGGGGAACATCTGCATCACTTAACAAGCCTCACTGATGGAGTTAAGTAGAACAGGAAACCTGACTAGAGAGAATCAGTATTTGAGATGATATGTAAATGTTGGGTACATATTATTGCTGCTAAAATTTGCAATCTTTGCAAGACTCCCCGCTTTGGTACGAGGAACGGGAGTGGATACATGGTACGCCGCATGCTCTAAAAAATTAGGGGATTGCTTTGGATCTCTGAATTCACTATTTGGGAACGAAAGTGTACCATATTTCGGAAAATGTGTTCCAAAACATAAATTGCTAGGGTGTTAGCGTTTTTTGGTAACACTAATTAGGCTTCACCGGATCTCCTAGCATGGTGGAAAAGATTCCGTGATTCTATTTTTGATATGATTTTGTAAAGTTATGTCAATTTGTTTGGCTCAAGGACTGGAGCATTGCCCTCGAAGTGTCTTTCATTTCATTTTGTTTCGTTTTCCCCCCAAAGTGTTCTATGTAGGCTGTACTTGATATAATAACCACATTTATTTATATTTTTTTGCAGATTGATAAGGAGCGAGCTGGTGTGCTTGTTGGAACAGGGATGGGTGGTCTTACAGTGTTTTCTGATGGCGTCCAGGCTCTCATAGAGAGAGGTTACAGAAAAATCACTCCATTTTTCATACCTTACGCCATAACAAATATGGGCTCTGCCTTGCTTGCAATTGAGCTTGGTTTTATGGGACCAAATTATTCGATTTCAACCGCTTGTGCTACCTCCAATTATTGCTTTTATGCTGCTGCCAATCACATCCGTCGAGGTGAGGCTGATTTGATGATTGCTGGAGGAACTGAAGCTGCCATTATTCCCATTGGCTTGGGAGGTTTTGTAGCATGTAGAGCTCTGTCTCAGAGGAATGATGATCCCCAAACTGCTTCTAGGCCATGGGATAAAGAACGAGATGGCTTTGTTATGGGTGAAGGTTCTGGAGTATTGGTAAGTTTGTTGGTCATATGCTAGGTGGTGTGAAACTGTCATATAATTCTATTTATTTGCTGGTTTTTAGTTTATGTAGACTCTTTCTTTTCCAGTTTCTGGGAACAAAACAAAAGACACGCACAATGTGTTCCTGATTATCTCATGTCATTGTCATACCTCAGATCATGATTTTGTACTTTCTATCAGTACATTTACTTGTTTCTTGACTTCATTGGTTCCTCAAATCACTTTCGAATCTTGTGTCTTGCTTTGTATTTAGCTAATATTGGAGGATGGCTAAGATGAACACATTCCTTTCCTCCTTTCCTCCTTCCTTTTGTCTCCACAGCTACTAACTGGATAAACTATTTCTGGTTCTACGGAACGTGGCCTTTTATGAATTGACTATTAGGATAAGTATTGATAATATAATTCAGGTTTGTGATGATATACTGTATTGTGGGTAGGTGCTGGAGAGCTTGGAACATGCAATGAAACGAGGTGCTCCAATTATTGCAGAGTACTTGGGAGGTGCGGTAAACTGTGATGCTTATCACATGACTGATCCAAGAGCTGATGGACTTGGTGTCTCTTCATGCATTGAGAGAAGCCTTGAAGATGCTGGTGTGTCTCCAGAGGAGGTATTTATTTTGTTTTCGTTAAAGGTCAAATTTATTATTCTGTATCTATATGATGGATTGTTTATTTTTGGTTGAGGATACTTTTCAATTAGTTCTGTCCATTTTAAATTTTACTTTTATAGTTTCTCACTCTTCATGCATTACGTTATATATACTTATATATGTATATATATATAAGGTGGGCCTGTTGCCGCATCTAACTATATGAGATGCGTTGTATTTATAGGAAGGTTCTTAGGTTGTGTCAAAATTCAGTTAGGTTGAAAGGATTGTCTCTAGATTCTGGTGAAGTTTAGTGGCGATGTCTCTCTCTCTCTCTCTCTCTCTCTCTCGATAGGATTGACCTAAAGCAGCCTGACCCATGTGGATCATAGCGCTTTGCCGAAACCTTTATCTTTAGCCTCCAAGCCGCAAGAGCCATAGGCTCGTAGTGTATGTTGATTACTTCAGCGTACCTAGTTTTTGCCTCTTGGCCAAGGTTTATGAACTGCGCGGTACAACATTTGTGGGGATGGAGTAGTTCAACTGCTTGTAAACAGATGGTTTGGATGCGCAGTGTGACCACAGTGGAGATGGGCACGTTGTATGACAAGTGTGGTCATAAGGTGCATGGTATGACTACCGCATGGATGAAGTTCATAAGACATCCTGTATCCTTGACTCTCGCAGAAAAGTCAGGGTGATCTAACACTTGTCATCTTCATAGTTAGGGTGACAATGAGCATTTTGCATTCATTGCATTTGGCAGCAATAATCCAACTCTCCTTGTATCTTTCTGTTTTGTAACCATTGTAGCATAGGGGTACAACGTTGTCATCTAGGGAGCGGTGGGGTTGAGTTTTGTTCCATTTACCTGTCAAAGTCCTTGTCCATAAATGATGTTTATGTGATGGCTATATTTAAGCATGCCTTACGGGTCATAATAATGCACCTCTTTCACCCAAAATTCTGTTGGAGTTGAGTGAAGAAATAAGAATCTCACTGAATCTCATCTTTCGGTCTGTTGAAATCCATGAGAAACTTCAGTTTCTGTCTTAGAAAAGTGCAAGGGATCTTGAAAATCTGTTTTGTTTGGTTGCTATTATTTGTTCCAAAACTAAGGACACATCCAGAATATATATATATATATATATTGATAAGTAAAGGAACATCGGGGAAATATATAAATATCTAGAACAAAATATTTTATATTGAAATGTAATTTTTGCATTGAAGCATTCCATCAACCATACCTGAGATTGGGGTGAAGAATAAAAATATGGCCTTGAAGTGGTTTCCAGTGGCATATTCACCATATATTGGTGGTTTTTCCTTTTGGAAAATGTTTGAGACCCCTAAAAAAGCTCCCCTACTTTGACCTATAATGATGTGGCAAGATAGGTGTTAACTTTTGATTTGTCACACAATCAACCATAAAGGGTGCAACTCCCTTGCCACATCATTGTGGATGAAATTGTGGGTCTCTAGTATTTCTCTTTCCTTTTTTTGTGAAAGCTTTTCTTCATTGAAGTTTAAAAGATTTCTGTTACACAAGCAAACAGCAACCTAAGAATTGAAGTTAATTAAACCCAAAAAACAATGAAATAATTCTCCATATTTTTTCAGGTTAACTACATAAATGCACATGCAACTTCCACTCCAGCTGGTGATGTAGCTGAGGTGAATGCCATAAAGAAGGTATTCAAGAACACTTCGGAGATCAAAATGAATTCAACGAAGGTGAATGCTCTCACTTTGATGTTTGCTTGTTCATCATCATTAATATGGTACTCTCGAGCCTTAGCATACCATGTGGCGATGTTACTCCTAGTTTTCAGATAGATGTTTTTCTTCTAATTTCTTTTCCTTTATTTTCTTTTTTTCTTATCAGTCTATGATAGGTCACTGTCTCGGTGCTGCTGGAGGTTTGGAAGCCATTGCTTCAGTAAAAGCCATTAACACAGGGTGGCTGCATCCTACTATAAATCAATTTGTATGTACTGCTTTCTACCTAGCACTTCCCTTTTTCTTTCAGTCATATGTCTGAATTAAACTTGAGATTTTCCGAAAGTTTTCAAACTTGTGGGTGATTCTTAACTCTTTTATATTGACTCGGTTAAATGTTTTGGTCCTTTTGGGTTTGAGTGTGCCTTTAGATGACAGAGCTCCCTAATCAATTTCAATTCTTAGGATACGGTGACCAAATGTTGATTATTGTTCGTACGGGTACATGAACATGTCTTGCATGTTCAAAGACATAATATTTTACAAATATTTTAGAGCTTGAAGTTATAATTCAAGTATATAGTTGAATGGAGGTTAATTAAACAGTAAGATGTGGAAAACTGAGTTTCTATCAATCCAGCAACTCATATAAGAATCAGGACGCCCTTTCTCTGCTACCAACTATGCACTTCATGTTCTCCATCATTGAATGTAAAGGATCAGTATTCAGTGTTAAAATAGGTTGAGCTTCAGTGAGAAATGGGATTGCATTTCGACAGCTAGGATGGCCTGTTATGGTGAATGGATCCCCTGCTAGTTCTTTTGATTTTTGGAGAGGGTTAATATAGGGAAATCCTCCTCCTCCTCTTCTTTCTCTAGAGGCATTTAGTCGGGTCCATGCCTAGGATAGTGCTGGGTGACTTTTTAGGTGGTTTCTTAGAAGGATATGTGGGGGAGTTTCCAGTATTTTTTGTTTGTTTTATGCCACTTGTGCCATTGTTGTTGTCAGATGGATGATTATTGGCTCCTGGTATTTGAGGTTTGGGTTATGCTCTGAAGCAACGTTGGGATTATGGGTGAATTTGGGTAATTGGGGTGTCAGTTGTTGGTGCGTTGGTGTCTTGTCTTCCATGTATTCGGGTTGCTTTTTGGCTCTTCCTTGAGGTCAAAGGAATTTGGCAATTGCTGGTCAGGAGGTTTTAAGGAGGTTGAATTGTCTACTTATCAAAAGGAGTTTGCTAGACATTGATCTAGAACACTTTGTCTAGTCTTGGTTTGATACAGGGTGAGCTTTTGGCTTAAGCAAAATGCTTCTTGTGGCGACACCTGGTTGTGGATCTTTTTGCTAATCTGTACTAGATTCCTGCAACAATCATCAATGTTTTAATGGCTGATCACATGAAGGGTGATAGCCAGTGTTGGATGTTCATTTTTGGAGAGTTTTTAGTATTAGGGAAGCTTCGAGTGGTTTTGGGGTTTGTTGAGGTCTTTTATGCCATGTTTGGATCATGGATTTTGATATGAATTTGGTAAGGGAAACAGAAATGGAGAAAAAAATTATTTTATGTTTTATTCACATTTCACTCACATTTTCTCTTTTTATTTCGTAATCCTTACTCAAATCCATGATCCAAACACAGCCTTAGAAGATCAATAAAGTTAGAGGAGAGGATGAGATTGAGTTTAGTGTTTCCAACTATGGAAGATTTCAGGTTAAATCATAGGTTGCTAACAGGTACCTCATTCATTTCCTTGTGCCTTCTAAGGTAGCATTTTTTTGGTTAGCAGCTCACCTAAAGATTCTTATGATCTTTACGACAAGAAAAGTCCTCCGTATTACTTTTGTATCTGTAATCCATTCTCAATTTCTGTTGAGAAACCAGGCACAAGCAGAAGCTACGTTAAGACTCGTATAGCTACTGTTATTAGCTGATAGTTGCAAAGATTTAAAATTTTCTTTTCCTTTTTATCGTTTTTCACCATGCCTCACTGAAGATTGGTACCTATTTATAACTTCATAATCTATAGGTTGAACTATTATGTTACCTGTTATGATTCTTGATGTGTTCCTTCTGATAAATGCAGAACTTAGAGCCTTCTGTCGAGTTTGACACCGTTGCAAACAAAAAGCAGCAGCATGAAGTCAATGTTGGTAAGATTCTCCACATTTACATCCTCTATCTTCCTCCCAAGTGTTGTTTAGGTCTTTGTTTTTGTTTTTCATTTTTGTTTTAATGTTATGTTTTTTTGTTTAGTGAATTGTTTGTGAAAATTATTGTCGGAGTTTTTTTCAAAAGAACACTTTTTAGAAAATACATAAAAAGTTATTTTCAAAGTTTAGAAGTGGTTTTAGCACAATGAAAATGAAAACAATCTGATATTTTTGAATTCTTGTTTTGTTTAAAAAACATAAAAAAACAAAAACAAAAACACAAGAACTTACTAGTTAAAAACAAATAAAGAAGGAAAGCCTTGCAGCATCTTCAATCAATTGCTTTAGCATTATTACATTAGTTTCCAGTACGGCCAAACATAGCAAAACATTTTCTCCAAAAACAGCCAAAACAAAGTGTGAGAATACAGGTTTACTGAAAAGAACTTATCATGATATGCAGCCATTTCAAATTCATTTGGCTTTGGCGGACACAACTCTGTCGTGGTGTTTTCTGGATTCAAGCCCTGATCGAGCATGTTGCTTCATCTACTTTGAGCCAGAACAATATTTCTTGTTGGAGGATTAATACAATTTTCAGAGGCTGCTTCATCTACTTTGTGCAAGTTGCTGCATACGCACTTGATCTTCATAGCTCTTTATGTTTTACTTTTGAGTTGGAACTTCAGCTTTTGTCTTCGTGGTCTTTTTTCCCTTTTCTTTTTCATTTTAAATGTGTTTGAATCTCTTTAATTAAATCGGGAATGAAATTTTGTTCTTCTGAATCATGGCTATTTTGAGAAGATGGTTATAATAAGTTTTTTAGTTAAGAGCTGATCAAGAGCTGATTATAATTAGCTTTTTGTGAGAGAGGGAAGTGGGTTATAATCTGAGAAGTAGATTACTCACTTCTCAAAAACCCCGTAGTTGATCAGATGGGATATAAATTTTCTAGTTTCAAGTGTAATGTATTATGTACTGGGTGCAAATCTTTTGTTAGTTGTGATACAGAACAATGATCTTGGCTCTGTTTGGGAAGAGAGGTTTGGAGCTTTTTTGGTTAAAATAGTCATAAAAAATAAAATAGGATTTTTAACTCAATAAGACAAAACATCACATACAACCCATAATCATTACCTTCATTTTCTTACAAAAAAAAGTCAAAAAAGTCAAAAGTCCTTTCCAAATTAGGTTTTTTAACCCCAGGTTAAAAAAGTCAAAAAGTCAACTCATTTTTCAAACGAAGCCCTTATGTGGTTTTCTGCATTAACGTTAACTTTGGGGTGTTTTGGCAACACACTAAAAAAGTTAAAAGTAAGTTTTTAATTCATTTTGAGTCATATCATCTTTCACATGAAATAGTGAAAAAAGTTAAAAAGTTAACTTTTAACTATATTGGGGTGGGTGGCTGGTGGTGTTGAAGAGAGTTGTAGTGGTGGCAGACGGCTGAGGAGTCGTAAAGGGAAGAGGAAGAGTGAGGAGAGGGAAGAGGGAGAGTGAGGAGAGAGAAGGGGGAAGGGAATAGGGAGGGGCACTTTAGTTTAACCAAATTAGATTTCACTCATTGAAATTATTTTCCAAGTATACCTTTCTCATTCACTTTTATATTTCCCTTCCTTGAGTTATATGACTTTTACTATATTTTCCAAGTTTTTTTTTTTTAAATAAAAAAAATCTTGAGTCATTGGGTAAGAAAGTTCCTTTTTTAGGGAGAGTTTTATTTTATTTTATTTTTCTTGACCCTTAGATAAGAAAGTTAAAAAAAAATTAAAATTAAAATTAATTTAAAACTTTAGCAACTGCTTTCTATCAATAGTGTTACAACTTAATGCAAAAATGGTTATTATTATTAATTTATTTATTTTTTGTGAATATGATTATTCAACGGACTTTAGGATAAGATACCAATATTTTAATATGTTTGATAGCAATTTTTTTTTAAAATACATATACCCTGCCTACTGAGCCTGGTAACTTCCCTCTTAAGAAAAAGAGAAAAAAAAAAAAGAGAAAAAAGATTTTTATGGCAAGGAGGGTAACCACAACATGGATAAATCACTTGTTTTTGCTTTTGCCAAGTGGCCTCATTGTAGGCTTCTTGCTAAGAAAGAAAATAATTTGTGGCGGGTAATCACTTTTACATCTTATAATTCCAAGACTCAACAACAAAACGATGGCCACTGCTCTGTTCCTCAGAATCTCTCTATATCACACCCTCTCTTTCACCACCAAACCCTTCTCTTTCACTCCCTCTCATCTCAATTCCCACTCTTTCTCTCTCAAAGCAGCAATGGTACACATCTCTCTCTCTCTCTCTCTCTCTCACTTTTCTTGCATTTCTTGAAACCCAGAAAATTTAAATTTGGTGACTCAACTGCCACTGTTGTGTTCTTATGTTCACTGTGTTTTTTTGTTTTTGTTTTTGTTTTTGTTTTTGATTTTAGATGGAGGGAAGTGAAATCACAGAGAAAGAGGAAGTAAGTGTGATTGAAAAGAGGAAAATCTTTGTTGCTGGTGCCACGGGAAACACTGGGAAGAGGATTGTCCAGCAGCTTCTGGCCAAGGGTTTTGCTGTCAAGGCCGGTGTTCGTGACGTTGATAAGGCGAAAATAAGCTTTTCTGATGGCAACCCAGATCTTCAATTTGTGAGTATTTACTATTTAAGCTCAATTGGCGTTTGGAATATGATTGCGCGATTGGGGTTTTTAGCTTATTGTTTTTGTTTAGTGCTTGAATTAGGTATAGACATAATTGATTAGCTAGAAGGAAGGCACGCATAGTGCACCATAATAATACCCTTAAACTATCCCATTTGGTTTATGAGAGGAAATTGGTAACCGAAAAGGAGTTCTACGAAATGAGAGAAATATCGTTGGGACGCGGGTTATGGATAGCGATGATTTCAAATTAATGGAATATACACTATTGCCCTTTGAATTGTGAGTATTTGAGGTCAATTGGCAATTGGAATTTGATTTCTCAATTGGGTTTCAGCTTATTGTTGTTGTTTTATGTCTAGAAGAATTTCGAAGAATGGCACACACTATGCGTGTGCCTCATTATACGCCCCTGTAAACTACCCCATTCTCTTGTTTTTGAGAGGGAAGTTGGCAACTGAAAATGAGTTTTCTGAGATCAGGGAAATATCGTGGGGGATGTGGCTTATGGATGGTGACGATTTCAAATTAATGAAGTATACATTACTTCCCTTCAGTTGATAGAAATGTGTATATGAGGCGGTGAATTATGAGTTTTGGTGAAGATTTCTTGGAAAACAAAAAGCTGTTACGGAACTTCACTTAGGCCATCTTCAACGGTTCATCAAATCTTGCATAAGATTTGAAATTTGGTAAAAAAATCACTTTTTGGAGCTCCCAATGGTTTCAGCAAATTGGTATCAAATTGAGAAAACATCGAAAGTTTTACCAAACTGAGGACGGCTTGCTCCTTTCACCAATTCACTGTGTATAACCGTTAAAGCAAAAATTTGTGAAAATTTTACACTAAGTGGTCGACCACCTGGTAGACCACCAGGTTGACCAATCGGTCGACCGGCTCATGCAAAAATTGGCCTGCGATCTGGTTCAAATGGTTCAAATTACTGGTTCAAACGGTTCAAAAAAAAATTATAAAAAAAAATTGGCCTTGCCGGTCGACCGGCCGGTCAACCAACCGGTCGACCACTTCCCTTTTGATGCACGGTTGAAGCAAGCCATATCAGATTGAGAAAATTGGCTTTTTTTAATTCAAATTTGGTGAAAAATTCGGTTCACCGTTGGAGATAATTGTTTAACTTGAATGCATTAGAGCATCTCTAACGGTGAACCAAAATTTTTATCAAATTTGAGTAAAAAAATGCCAATTTTCTCAATCTGATACCATTTGCTCCAACCGTGCATCAAAAGGGGAGTGGTTGACCGGTTGGTTGACCGGTAAGGCAAAATTTTTTTTTTTTAAAACTTATTTGAACCTTTTTGACCGGTTTGAACCTACCTATTTAAAAGGGAACCGGTCGACCGGTTGGTCAACCGGCCGGACAACCGGTTGGTTGACCGGTTGGCCCACTTCAATGGTAATGCACAATGAAATGGTCAAATCTGGAGCCTATTCTCACTTTGATGAATTTTTTGCTCCATTCTCATTTTGATACCAATTTGGTGAAACCATTGGAGCTCCAAAAAATGATTTTTTCACCAAATTTCAAATATGATGCAAAGTTTGGTTCACCATTGTAGATGGTCTTAGAGGCTAAAATTTTGGGCGAATTATACTAACTGGCCTTATAGTTTGGGGTTCGTGTCACTTTGGTTTTTAATTTTTTAATTGTGACACATTTAACATTGAATTTTGAATCTTATTTCAAATTAGGACAATTGAAAATATCATGGCTTAATCTTAAGGGCAAAAATTTCAATTTGATAAAAGATAAACTAATTTCATAAAAATAAATATCGAAAAAATATTTTTACTCACAAAAGATAAAATTATGTAAAGTTGATAAATTTTTTACACATTTATTTATTTATTTTTATTATATGTTTGGATGATGATCATATAATGGGTTTTTTATTTTCATTAAATTAGTTTTTATTTTTTTTAAAGTCAAATATGGCGATAACTTTGATATCATTATTAAACCAATTCATTAAATCAAAAAATTCAAGATTGAAAACATTTCATATATTAAATATATCGATTACACATTAAAAGCTTAACAACCATCCATTAAATGGTCATCATCTAAACACAAATAAAATTAATTTGGTAAAAATAAAATTAAATAAATGTGTAAAAGATTTATTAATTTTACATAATTTTATCTTTAGTAGGTAGAAATAATTTTTAAAAATAATTTTTTGACATTTATTTTTATCAAATTTATCTCAAATTGACGATTTTATCCTTGAAATTTAGCTATGGTATCTTCAATTGTCCTTATTTGGAACAAGATTCAAAATTCAGAATCAAATGTGTCACAATTGAAAAGTCAGGGATCAAAGTGACACAAGTCTCAAACTACAGGCACTTTTTTTTTTAATAAAAAAAACTTGAATATTGCCAATTTATTTCTTAAATCCAAACAACTTATCAAAAAAGGGGGATCCAAATTATGATAGTCTGCCAGTGGAGAAAGTGTATGATCTACAAAATGTAGCAACCTCCAATTTGGCAGTGACAATGTGTGCACACGTGATTATAGTGACTCCAACAATTAGTTTGAGTTTGAGGATAAGAGAGGATTTGGAGAGGCTCTCTCTAACCATTACAAGATTTTGGTTTGTCTGGTAATTCATATGTTTGCAGGTGAAAGCCGATGTGACTGAAGGTTCAACAAAGCTAGCTGAGGCTATAGGTGCCGATTCAGATGCTGTAATATGTGCCACGGGTTTTCGACCTTCTTTGGATTTATTGGCTCCATGGAAGGTTAGTTATGACTATTGTTGCTATTAATGTCTTGCCTATTCTTGTTACCGTCAACTATTCCTTAGTGCCCATTCAATTATCAAAATTTATATCTCCTAATATTGGTGTTTCTGTTGATTTCTTATTTTTTCTTGTTTTAATTTCTGCAAGGCAAAGATGTGTAGTTTAAATTTAATAAATTGGAAATCAAGATTGTGTATATATATACGAATCCTTTAAACTTAGGATTGGTTTGGGAAGTGGCTTTTTTAGTAGCGTTTTTGGCTAAAAAATAAAAATGTAGGTGAAAAACATTGAAGTGTTTGGGAATGATGTTTTTGGCTTCTACGAAAAAACGTTCAAAGAGTAGATAAAAGAATGAATAACTTTTTGGTTAAAATCCAATCTTCCCAAATGCACTAGCTAGTTGGATACTTCGAGCCCCTCTATACATTTGTGTGTGTGTATGTAAAACTAGACACATACACACGCACACACCACACACCTTTGGAACTCAAATTGGGGATTTTGGCCCTTGTCAAATTGGGATTCCTATTATACTCTTGTCTATAGATCAGCTGAGGATTTTGTTTGAACTCGAAATGATATTGCATAATCCAGACACAATTTGTGGCTCAAATTTGGCAATGAATGAAATATTTTTGAAATGTTTCTGAAACTTTTCTTTTCCGAGCTACCCCGAAACAGTATGCCGAAACTAAATCTTGATCCTTGCTTTGGCTGCATGCACAAAAATTTAATCTTGCTGATGTTTCACAAATTTTATACTTTTGGATGTTCTGTTGCAGGTTGATAATTTTGGCACGGTAAACCTAGTTGAAGCATGCCGCAAGCTCGGTGTTAACAGATTTATCCTTGTTAGTTCCATTTTAGTTAATGGGGCTGCAATGGGTCAATTGCTTAATCCGGCTTACATTATTCTCAATGTGTTTGGACTGACATTGATAGCGAAGCTTCAAGCAGAGAAGCATATCAGGAAATCTGGTATTAACTACACAATTATAAGGCCCGGTGGATTGAGAAATGACCCTCCAAATGGAAACATAGTCATGGAGCCAGAGGTAAAATCATTGAACAGATGCCTTACTGTTGGTTTGGTATAGTATTAATGTGTTTATTTGAGTAGAATCTGGAAAACAGTTTGGCCATGTTTGTTTGGGTGGACATGAGTTTGGGATTGGACTAATAGTCCAATAAAATTATTAATCCGATGTTTGGATAAATAATTGAAGTACGGACTAACAATCCATTATCCCACATATGATGGACTATTCAATCTCACAGAAGGGGGTGGGATATAAATTGAAAGATTAAACCAAAGTCTGGACTATTAGTCCTCTTTATAATCCTAATTCAATCCAAACATAAGATAGGATACATAATCCAAAATATTCGTAGTCCTAGGACTATTAGTCATGGAAATGCTAATCCAACCTAATCCAGTCCGCCCAAACAAACATAGCCTTTATGCATTTATAGTGTTTGGTACGACAAACAATAAAAGTCAGCCTTTATGCATTTATAGTGTTTGGTACGACAAACAATAAAAGTCAACAAAAAATGTTTTCTGTCACCAATGGAAAATGAGCTGATTTGGGTAGAAAACGTTTCCTGCTTTAAAAGGTGGAAAATGTTTTTATGGAAAAAATGATTTTTTGCATTTCTAGCTTTTGGTTTGGGTATGACAGAAAATGAAAGTTAATAAATAAATAAAAAGAAACTTTTTTTTGGTCAATGGAAAATGAGCTGATTTGGGTGGAAAACGTTCCTAGTTTTTGAAGGCAGAAAATGTTTTTTTTGGACCTAACAACACAACCAATCTCACCAAAACCACTACCTTCACCTTATCACCACCACCATCTCCGTCACCAACACCAGCACAGCATTATCACCACTACTACCACCACAACCGCTACAATCATAGTCACATCATTCCCACCATTGGTGTTGCCACCAGGGGCGGACTCCGAATTTTAACCCGGGAAGCGAATATAAATACAAAATTTAAAAAAGATAATATAAAATACGTCGTCAATTTTTATACATTGTGCACGTGGTATGAAGATTTTTTAAATTGTAGTGGTGGCGATTGCCCCGCCCATCATTGGCTGCCACCACAACCACCACCACCACTCCTACCACCACTATAACCACCAACACCATCATTTTCATGGTCGCAACCAAACACAGGGAAGATGTTTTGTGGGAATATATATATATATATATATATATATTTTTTTTTTCTCAAATGAAAATGTTTTTTTTCCCAAAACGAACTAAGCTCAAGCACTCTCTCTCTCTCTCTCTCTCTCCAGGATACTCTGTATAAAGGCTCCATATCAAGAGATCAAGTTGCTGAAGTTGCTGCTGAGGCACTGAATCACCAAGAAGCTTCTTACAAAGTGGTGGAGATCGTTGCTCGCACTGAAGCTCCCAAGCGTTCATTTCAGGAACTATTCGGTTCTATAAAGCAACAGTAATTTGCTTGTTCGAATTCATTATGATAGGGGAACATTAAAGGATATTTTGATTCATTATATTGTCATTATCGTCTTTTAATTATGCTGAGGAAATTTTGTGTTCCTATGTATAATTCTTTTGTTTTCTTGATCAGTTGAAGCAATCCTAATTTTCAATCATACTCTGGTTTCCAGTTGAATTCATCTTGGTTTGTTGATAGATGTGTTTAAATTGCATGGAAAATTATTAGGTGGTTTGTTGATATTGTCTACATGATTTTCTCGGCCAATGAAAAAATAATACACATTATGTGGTTCATCTTTTATCTCGTAACTACCTAATAGAGGTGAGTCATTGTGTCCTATTTGTAAAATTTTTCGTTACATGATTGATTTGGAGCACCATGTAGGCAGTGCCATATAGTGTTTTGAAACTACTAAATAATTACCTATTTAAATTGCACCTAAACTTATAGATAGTCATAAAATACCATGTGTCATTGCTTGTGTGGTGTTCTTGATAAACGAGTAATCACAAAACATACTAGGTGGATTACCCCTTTCTCAACTACCTGAAATTATCACATGGGTTTGGAATATGTGACAGCGTGCCCAAGCAACAGTGTTTTGTGATTTCTTCGCTATTTTTCTTATTTTTCGGATCATATGAGCTTGTAGTCTCCTATTATTGAGCTAGCACACAACTACCAAACAAAGGTGTGGATAAGCATTGTCCCACTCTTCAAAACTCAAAGAAACATAGGTTTACAAGAAATAATCAAGACACCCCACAAGAAGTTCATAAATAACCAAAAAGAAATGGTAAAATACTAAAATATAAAATAAATAAAAAAACAAACATAAAGAGATACTTAGAATAAGCAAGCAATAAGAGAAACCATGGCTGCAACTATTGCTGGAGCACAAAGAGCCACCCCGGCACTCTCCATCGCCGGTGATGGTGCAACCGCTCCCACATCATCAAGTGTCGCCACATCTCCAGAGGCGGCAAAAGCCATGAAAGCCACAATGAAGAGAGTGAAAGCCATGGCCAACTTGCAAGCCTCCATTTCTCACTATTCTCTCAAGTGCTTAAGAAAGAGTGAGAAAATTTTGACTCTCTTGAGGATTATGTTGAAGTTGAGTTTGTGTGTTTGGAGGAAAGGAAAGGAAAGTGTAGAGGGATTTATAAGGTGGGGGATTTGTGGAGTCTCATGAGAATATATGGCTGTGCCAGCTATTATGTGTTGGTTTTACTACAAACAATATAATTAGTGGTGGGCTTCAAATTTAAAATTTTATTCCTCACTCCATTGCTCATTAGCCAGGCTGGACTTACTTTGAAGTAACTCTTCATGTTAACTACAAACCTATTGAATATATTTAAAATTTGAACAACTTTCACTTTAGTTCATGTGGTATAGGCAATGTCTATGGCGAATGATTTTCTGTCTTCAAATCTCTCTATTCTCTTGTTTTAAAACACTCACAACTACTAAATTATTGAAAATCTCAAGACATGATTCAATTGACGTGAACATTTTGAGGCAAAGGCATAGCGAAATTCAAGGACAAAGGATCCCATGCCTTTGTTCATCTAACTTTCAACACTAGTAAATTGACCTAAATACTCACATCTTTATCTCTTTTAAACTAAACCCTTCAATTTGCCCTATCATACAAATTATGGGCACATGACACTCCTGTCTTTTGAAGATATATGCATGTATAATGTATTTTCTGTTGATTTGGATGAAAGACAGTACATTTTAGTTCTCAAATCACAAGTAATTAAGTGGTTATTTCAAAATACGATAATTCTACACAAGCAAAATATGTATGCAAAAAATTCAATGATGTCTCATTTGCAGGCATTCATTGAAAGTAAAAAATGTTCATTACTTTGATTCATAATTGTAAGAATGTGAGTGTCACATCATTCTTGTATTAATGTTTGTATGAAAATTATTTATGGCCATTATTTTCCTTCTAAATAATAAGGAATTATATGCACATAATCTATACCACAGAGGTTAAGTTGAATTTTTTTTCAAATAAGTTGTATATGAAATTGGAATTGGTCTCCGGATTCAAGAGTTGAAGATCATTTTAAAATATGTATAGTTTGCATGTATTTAGAGTTTATTCATAAGTTTTTATATTGAATGATCAAATGGACGGATTGTAATTCTTCATTATTATTATTATTTTGAAAAGTGGGCTTTCAAAATAAATTGTATTCCTCAGTCCACTGCTCATTATCCAGGCTGGAGTAGCAATGAAATAGCACTTCATTTTAGTTAAATGATAGAGGACACCCCCTTTCCAGGCTTGTTTTGTTTATACCTTCAAAACCTTGTACCATGTGATGTTTATACCACACAAATTTTTTTTTTCTTCTAGAATTTAATAAAAGTATTTACCAAGAAAAAGAACTCCACTTTGTGATATCTGTAATCTTTTTGATATTTTAATAAAACCACTCAATGGAAGTGTCATTAATCATTGCCCAAAGCAAGCTTTTAGGCCATTTCTTAACATTCAAATTTGAATTAACAACGGAATTGTAAAGAATGTTGTTTACACCTTTATTTTGTTTTTTGATTAGGAGTAATGCGAGATCGGTGCGTGGCAATTACGTTTAGGCCATGTTTGTTTGGGTGGACATGAGCTTGGGATTGGATTAATAGTCCAATAAAATTATTAATCCGATGTTTGGTTAAACAATTGAAGTATGGACTAATTATTTTAAACTTGACTATTAGTTAAGATAGGATACATAATCCAATGGATTCGTAGTCCTAGGACTATTAGTCATGGGAATGCTAATCCAGTCCGCCCAAACAAACATGGCCTTAGGGTCTAAGTTGATGCCATGTGGTAGTCTTGTGCATCAAGTACATTTATTATTTTTAATAAAAAATAATTAATAAAAAGATGTTGTAGAGTGTTGTTTATACTTTTCTTTGATTGGGAGCAATGAGAGATCAAAGCGTGATAGATGTGTTTAGGGTCTAAGATGATGGCACATAGTAATCAATTTATGATGGGTATTATTGTCAAAAACACCATATCTAAGTAAGGTGGATAGAAGATGGCCTTCTTAATGAGCTTTCTCTCTCTTTACTCTATCGGTAGAACATTCCTTGTTAAATCAAATTGAGAGTTGAGAGTTGAGACTGACTCTTTTCATTATCTCTTTTTTTAAACTCATTTTATCAGGTTGTTAGAGGAGATAAATGTCACATAGAGCAATATGAAAAAGAGAAAGGAAGACTAAAGAGGGGCATATAATTCATTATTAAAAGGAATTTGCGGTGATTATTTTTGTCAGAGAAGCGTTCAATTGATTGATGAAATAACGGTCACATAGAATAATTAAAAAAAAGAAAAGAAAAGAAAAGAACAATAAAAATTCACATAAAGCAATATAAAAAGAGAAAGGAACATTAATGAGGGGCATACAATTTTCGGTAATAGTTTTCACTTTATTAATATAGACAGTTTTACTTACTTATAATCTATCGATATCTTACACCTTTGTAGGTATTCTTATAGGTATCATCTCTACAACCCGAACTACAAAGTCGCAACTCATCCTCTTGGGTTGGCATCAATGCCAAATAATACAAGCCCCTTAAACAAAATTGAAAATCAACTTGAAAGAAAATTCTTTATATTATAGTTCATGTGTTTAATTTTCCATATTATTATTAACGTGAGGTTGATTCAAAAAACTATAGATAAAATTAATTAGAATCATTTGCTTAGCAACAAGGACTCTGTGGCCCAATGGATAAGGCGCTGGTCTACGGAACCAGAGATTCTGGGTTCGATCCCCAGCAGAGTCGTATGTTTTTACGTTTTTGGCTAAAAGCTGAAACTGTTGGAATGAATTTTTTAAATTTTTACGAAAAAGATAGAAAGAAGTTTTGATTTTTTAATAGCTTTTAAACAATTTTTTTTACTATTTTATGAAATTGTTAAAAATTTGTTTAAGATTGACCACGTTAAATTTTTTAAATCCAACTTTAGTAATCTACTATTAAACTCAATAAACTTATTATATGCATTATAAAAAATCTCTACTTCTTTAAAAATCAATTTAATATACTTTTTTGCATTTTAAAAAAAAAGCTTGGACTTTTTTCATGTTAAAATCTGAATAGGAGTCATGTTAGAATCTTAATATGAGAGAATTTGAGTGGTCTGTAAGACCCATCACGAGTCTCATTTAAAAGATCGGAACCGTTCATTTTATAAGACTCTCAATGTATATTATTCATGAAAATATTTAGGATGATTCAATAATGATAACCCTTTCATTTTGTCATATTTGTTTCTAAAAAAATGGATGGTCAATTTCAAAATTTTATTTATCGTCTATTTTGTTAGAGATAAATGTGATAAAATGAAAAAATTATAATTATTGAATCGAATTAATTTTTTTCATGAACAATTTACATTAATGACCTAATAAAATAAAGGTTTCAAATTATCGAAACTAAACTCCTGATGAACTGTATAAGCCCATACAATTTTCTGAGAGATGTCAACATGAAAAAAAAAACTCAACGCAAAAGGAACTCATTTAAACCCGACTCACAAGATAGACAGGCTAGGCTAGCCCATTTATTGCTCTAGTTATCCCTCTCCAATATAGAAAAATGACATTTCAAAGCATCATTATCTAAATATCCACAATTCCAAGCATCTGTAATGCAGTGTTTTGTATCTAAAAAAAAGAGTTAATTAATGTTGTGATTGAATCATAAATTTGAATAAAAATTTAAAAATAGAAAGAAAAATGAAAAAAGAAACATTTAACTTATGTTTAATTGACATTTCCTTTTTCTTTCCAAATCCATGATCGAAACATAACTTAAAAATCTAAATGCATCTTTCACTTTTATTTTCAATTATAACCCAAGTTTCCAGAATGTTGAGAACTCGGATTAATGGTTTTGACACTATCCAACCTCTGTGAACATGTGAAAAGCAAAAATAATGAAAGCATAGTCACAAGGGAAAGGCCACATAAAAAGCTATATAACTCAAAACATCCATGAACTTCTAGTCATCAATAAAGAACAAACTGAAGTATTTTTCTTAATTAATCTAATGGAAACACTGGATGATAATAAAACAGTATGGTACAGCAACAAATTTTCCAATGCTAGGGAGAAAAACACAAAATAAAATAAAAAAAACAAAAACCACCATGAAAGTGAATGTCAAGTGATGTGGGTAGCCATTAGAACATTGTTCCTTTAACACCTCTCTCTCCCCTTGTTAGTGATGGAAAGTAAATACCGAGTTGGCCTTGCAGTTCGATACACCTGATTTCTCAATTCTCCAATTGTAATGACGAATAAAACTAACAAGTCCCGCAGTAATACCGTGCCTGGATAATCCTTTGCATATTAACTATGAGTCCCACTCCGATAAGAATGACATCAGATATGATGCATGGGTCGCAGCCTGAATATACACTGAATTTTGGTTCCCCGAAATTGGCTGCATTTCAATCAACTGATTAACAATTTTCCCAAATGCAGATTCGACTCCAGACTATGCATACTATCCAGTGATCAGAAATCACTTGTTCTATCGCAAACCCTCTGTACAGAAGTAAACGATGAAAAATATACTATGGAGAACAAAAACCAAGTCGGATGAAGTGAATCTTTAAGTACTAGTTGTCACCATGGGACGCATGAGTTATAAGGAGATGAGAACACAGGAGATCATCACATGGTTGAGATGGTAAAGTCACAGTATTCTTACAAAAGATGATGAATATTGCCATTGATTGGTCATGTCTGTTATGTTTTAGATGCAGCTTTCAATTTCTCCAGCTGCTTCCGGAGATAGGCCTGCTTCAGTTTCTCCCGACGCGCTGCAGCCTGTTCTTGCCTGCGTAATTTGAGCTCAGACACTTTTTCCCTTGCTTGATTTGCTTCTTCATGAACTTCCCTGAGGGAAACAAGCAGCAAACATATGAAGGTGCGGCAATAATAGTAAATACGCAATTCAAAATTATGCAATGAAACAAGATAGTTTGTTAGTGACATATTGGACTCTTAGCTTTTCTTGTCGGTTATTCTGGACAGAATAAAATAACATATGTTCCTGTTTTGGAAATATATTCGAGCATCTTTTTGAACCAATGGTCTTGGTCACAAAATCCATGGCTTGCAGAAAAGGTGTTTCATAATGTTTTTGAATGTTTTGTACAAAAGATGGAAAACTATCCCATTGATCCCGCCAAAAATCACAAAATCAAAGACAGTTGAGAAATGGCTTGCAGATCGGATTGATCTATACTCAAACTGTTCCATAATGTTTTTGAATGTTCATTTGCTATTAAATTGCATATTGTTCCTTCGGATATCTGTAATTTAGAATACAAGGGGTGCCTTGGATCCAGGTTGAACAATAATGAACCACTGAATGCCACTTGAAATCACCACATAAATTGCAGTATCGCTGGTTCAACTATCAGATATAGGCATTAAATCAAGTGTTATGATCTACTTCACACAAGCACATTAAATCCTTGATTTTCTTTCACTTTTGAACATTAAAAATAATTAGACCCTATTAATAGATACTTAATTCCATTCTCCTTCCTTGTACTGGTAGGGTTCTTTAATCAATAGTTGTAAATATAATTTAGGACTCAGTGTTTCATGTTTTCAATCTTACTTAATTATCTCAGAAGAACATCACCTAAGAAAAACTATACATCATACCTTACAAAACGCTTATGCTCATCATTGTCTGCAGTCATAGCTGCCCGGCCAAGCCCCACTGGTTTTGTATTAAGCAGCTCTGAAGCCTCATTTTCACCATCCTCATCGTCTCGAGATTCTGCAGTAGAAGGATCATGACCCCGAGGCTGCTGTGATTCATCCTGCACGAGGCTCTTACTGAAAAAATCAACACAATACTTCTCTTTATCTTCTTCATCTGAAAGCTCTCCTTTTGCTAGCTTTTCATATAATGCAGCCTTTTTCTCTAATGCCGCATAGCTGACTGATCCATCATTGACTGCTTTTAGCTCAAGCTTGTCCCTGAAATTTAATCACAAAAGCATGATTCATCCGAGTGGTTTACAGCTACATGAGTTAGTATTTGCAAGAAATAATAAAAAGCAACCCTAAATTTAGCAAAGAATTAAGCTCCATTGGCCTAATAATTAAAAGAATGAAATATAAAATGATCAATACTTGATTTACAATTATTTTTCCCCTTTTGTTTGCCTTGAAGAGAAAACTGACTTTCTTGATCCTTAATCCTTTTATATCCAAAATTACATCGAAATTAGATGGTTTTCATCTTCCATATTACACTTGTCCAATTTAATATCTTCATTTCAATTGCATATAAATCTTTGAACATGCTTCTTAACTCTTCAACTAGCGCATTGTGTAACATAGTAGGCCTATACAACTCTCTCATCAACTTAGCAAGTATTCCATGACCTCCAGACACAACCAAAGTTTTATTTCATGTATCCAACTTTAAGTATGGGCAATGCCTTCAATCTTTTTTACAAGGATAAATTGTCACTCTTATCTATTTGCCATCAAGTTTTACTATATCTTCATTTCTACTTCAAATTTCCTAAAATTAAATTACATATATTTTGCCTCACTCTTGCTTAACATAAAATCTTTAGACTGTAAATATCCCTTCATAGTTCAGAATTAACCCGCACTCCAGTTTTGTTGGTTAATATAATAATGTCAAGAAACAACATACACCATTGGACATTCTTTTGGATAGGTTTAGTAAGATCATCAATAACTACTGCAAGAAGATAAAAACTCAATGCTGATTCTTCACATGAGCTTCCAAGGCATCAAATTCACGCCCTTCCAAGCTGAAAATAAATAAATCATGAACACCCTGTCTGCAAATAACTACCCAAACCCTTAATTTGTGCAAATTTGAGGGTGTCAATTACCAATATCTGAGGCTAATCAGCACAACACTTGTTTTTTCTTTCATTATCTGCAAATTACTACCATCTGAAGCAAATCAGCCTAAAGTTTCCTACCCATAGGCATTATATCAACATTACTATGCAGGAGAAAAAACCATAATTTCTGCAAATTTGAGAGTGTCAATTACCAAATTTCCTAGGCTAATCAGCACAGTACTTCTTTTTTCTTTCATTATCTATAAATTACTACCATCTGAAGCTAATCAGCCTAAATTTCTGTAAATACACAGGCGTTGTAGGGAGAACACATAGGCATTATAGCAACATTACTATGTAGGAGAAAAAACCCTAATTTCTGCAAATTTGAGAGTGTCAATTACCAAATATCCTAGGCTAATCAGCACAGTACTTTTTTCTTTCATTATCTATAAATTACTACCATCTGAAGCTAATCAGCCTAAATTTCTGTAAATACACAGGCGTTGTAGGGAGAAAAGAAAAAAAAACCTAATTTTTGCAAATTCGAGGGTGTCAATTACGAATCTCTGAAGCTAATCAGACCAACAATTCTTTTTCATTTATAAAAAGAAACCCTAATAAACCCTAACTGCCCAAAATTGAGTTGAATATAAAAAGATTGAGAGAAAAAAACGTACTTGAGAGCACGGGCTTCGACGCCGGAGTTCTTGAGAGAGAGAGGATCGCGAGAAGTGATCTTCTTCTTGGCGCGCTGGTACTCGAGGTGATCGGAGGAGAGTTGTTCTTTGGAGCGCTTGGAGTCTTCTTGGGACTTGTAGAGCTGGGCTTTGAGTTCGAAGATGGAGGAAGGTCCGACTCCGGCTATTGAGCGGTGTTTCTTGGGCATGATTGTTGACTCCGTTAGCCATCCTAGCGATTCCACCACCACCTCCCTCTTCTTCTTCTTCCCTGCTTCCTCCTGTTCCCCCATTCTCTCTCTCTCTCTCTCTCTATATATATATATATCTGTATCTCTCTCTTCTCCTATATGTGATACTCTGCTTCTTCCGATATTGATCGATTGATGGATCGATCAAGACTCTCTCTCTCTCTCTCTCCTTCCTTCCTTTCTGGCTCTCGGTGCCGCTTTGGTGGAAATTATTTTAAGGTAAGAAGTTGATAATTAAAATGTAAAACTTTAATTCGTAAAAGGTTAATTTTTTAAAATTATTTTTGTTTAATTAATTATAAGTAGAAATTTGATATAAATTTTTAAATTAAAATAAGCTATAGGTTACTTGTATAATCCCTGCTAAACACACCTATTACACTTTGCCCCTTAGAGCATCTCTAATAATTGTTGCTAAAATATCATTGTTACTGCTATAATTTGGTAATGAATAGTGTTATTTTGTCAAATTATAACAATGGTACTCTAAAGGTCACTTGTTGTTTTGGCAAATCTCAAACTTTCCTTTCAAATTTGTAGGTGTTATTTGGATATAAGTTTTTTAGAGATTTTTTTCTATTTATTTTTTGTCTTTTATGATATTTTTTTAATTGTTTCTAAAAAAATTTATATATTTATATTATTCTTGACTGGAAAAATATAAAAAAGAAAAAAATTGAAAAAAAATTTAAATATAATTTATCCTCACCAAAAAATATATCATTATAAAAAAACAACAAATAGTAATTTGACCGCTAATTTATAATTGTTGTTTTGTATTTTTGTATTTTTTATATAGGCAAAAGAGCAAAACGGCTCTTTTGCATTTCCAAGATAGGATTACCACCATTCACATCCTTGGGTTTCAATGGTTGAGATGAATCATTTAGAATCATCCAACCCATTCTTCCCCAAAAGTGATGAAGTCTATCTCACTCTCCTTCTCCCTCTCACCCTCTTTCTCCGAAGACCATGGTGTTTCCTCTTCCATCTCTATCTCCATCTCCATCTCCATCTCCTTTTTAGTCTCCCTCTTCTGCTCACTCTCACTCTCACTCTCACTCTTACTTTCTCTCTATCTCTTTCCGAAGACCATGGTGTTTCTTCCTCCATCTTCCTCCCAGTCTTCCTATCCATCTCCGTCTCCCTCTTTCTCTCTCTAAAACCAGAGTGTGCAAAGAGAGAACCAAATGTCAATTTCTATATATGTATTTTTTTCAGAATTTATTTATCAATCCCTCATCATGATGCTGTATAGGCATTGATACCATCGTTAATCTTATTTAATAAACAATGGAATCATTCAGGACATATGCCATTCGTGGCTACGCTTTAAGAGGGAATTCGGCACACTCGAAGATCTTGATCATGCTATACAAAAGGTACTATTTCCTGTTGTAGCTCATTTTTTTATTCTTCAAATATGCTATTTTTGTTTCATGAAATTATTACAATGCAATGGCTAAATTGGGTTTCTGAAGTTTAGATTAGATGTAGAGAGCAATATTGGCCATGATTTGATTTTTTTTTTTTTAGAGTTGCCCTTGACTTTTGTTTAAAAAAAATTCGTGAATTTCACAAAATGAAAAAATTGATTTGTTGAGTTTTTCTAGAAAATGATGAGAAATTGAGGAAGGGAAGGAAGAAAATCAGTTGATTCTGGGTGACCTAGCAGATTTGCCATTTGTCATTTTCAACAGTTGCAATATCTCACCATTAGAGAGCCCTTTTTTCTCAAAGCTACTATATTATAACTGAAAAATCTAGAAATCCCCTAAATGTTGATTTGTGATTATGTATCAATTTTAAGCAGTAAACAACAATCTCAATCAAACAATCAAGACAAATCGACACAACGATTTTACGTGAAAAAACCACAATTGGACACCTCCAATTGTGATAAAAAAATCACGGACAACAGCCACAAAAACAATCCACTAAAAAGATATAAATGAATTACACAGGTATACTCTCAATTACCTAGCGAATCCACGCCCAAATTGAACCAACCCTTATGTGCCTCTTCCAACCCTGTCTTCACCTCGGAATTGTCTTGACGATGAGCCATTCCAGAATCCACCAAAGCTTCAGGCTCAAATTCTTCAGAATTCACCAAAGAACAATTCTCTCTTTTGTGTAGAATAAACAAATAATCTTTTGATATATACTCTTTAAACCATGAATTGAATATTCAATCAAAACATCAAAGAAAACTAGCAAAATATCCCCAGATATAAACCTTAATATCCAAAAAGAAGATCTGGAGCAGTAATCCTAAAATCTGAAAGAAACACGTACTTATAGAAATCTGGGACTGCGAAGCTCACTCGAGCGAAGACTCTTTCGCTCGAGCGAGGAACTAATCTCGCGTGTTTTTCCATAAGTGGCTTCGCTCGAGCTACATAATCCTTGTTCGAGCGTACATTCATCATTCTCAGGTTTTTTGCCAGACGCAGCCTTCACTTGAACGAGAACTCCTTTGCTCGAGCGAGCAAGGGCGGACAGACAACTTTGAATGCAATTTTGCATTTTGCACCCGCCGTAGCGTTGCCCTGGACCCGCCAAAGGGCGCTGCCCCCTGGACCCCCACGAGCTGACCGGGCAGCTCGATCCCCGTCATACTCAGTGAAGTAGTAATCTTGAAAGAATTAGCATCACAAACTTCTCTGCAAGGCACAATTCGGGTTGAATTCGCATCTAATAAACTCATAGCCTCACTAAAATAAAAGTGCGAACAAAATTACAACTCAAAGAAGTTTTGTCAAATGGGATTGCCAAGAATAAAAACCTAACAATCTCCCCCTTTGGCAATACAGTGACAAACACACCTAACAAATAAAATCTTAATCACCTCAACCCATAACAGCCAATAAAAATAAACTTCTTTCTCAAGGTCATGATCTGCAAAACAACTATTAGTCCACAATCTCCAAAACAACTATTAGTGCCACAAGAATATATAAAAAAGCAATAGACATATGACAAGATTATCTTGAAGCATGAGGTGGAAAACATAAATAGATGCAACTTGGGGATTTTAATAACATGTAGCATGAAAATATGAAAACTAAGACACATGCACCTGACACATGAATGGATGAAATCACACTACGACACATGTGCATGAAAACATGAACAACAACTTTCTCCCCCTTTTTGTCACGAATTGACAAAGGAAGCTCAATCAACTAAAGTAAGATCAAAGACCACACAAGCAATGATATGATGATGTAAATATCAGGAGCATGCAAGAAGAAAATAATAAGCAAACAGTGCATAGCAACATGCAAAACAACTATAGCCAATCTCCCTTACCAAACAAATCAAAGTGTTCATGCTAACAAACTTTTTTAAAGATAAACCAAACTCCCCCTCACTAAAAATAACGAACAAGAAGAAAATGACAAAAATAATATAATGGAGCAAGTAAGGAATTTCAGAGTTGTACCTTAAAACACACAAGATTATCCAAGAAGCACAATTACTTGAAAACACAATGTGCACAGCCTTTAGAAGATTCCTCACAAACGAAAGTGATGCATTATGTGAAAAGCATAGATCCCATGATAAAAGTGTGTGTGTGACTCTTGGAGTTCGACAAACACTAGACTCAAATCCTAGTAGTGATCAGATAGCTGAACCTCCGGCAAGAGAATTTTAGCATAACTACGGAAAGTTAAACCACTAGGAATCAAGGGGTATTTGGTGAGTAAAGGCGGAGGCTCCCCTTCAATCAATGAATCCTTTATTTTTTATTTTTTTCACATCTTTTTCTTTTCTTTCTTTTGCACATTTTTTTTTCTTTCTTTTGCACATTTTTTCTTTCTTTTGCACACTCATTGGCGGTTGACATGCTCAAGAGTATGGAAACCGAACCAGAGAAGCATGGATATAATAAGGATGGCCTGGTTGGTGACTCCGAGGTAGCCTTTTCTTCATGCCTGGACTACAAAGAACAGAGGGGAAAACCGTGGAGATGCAAAAAGATGGAAGATGGTTAAGAAACTCAACATTACCCATGATGTGCTAGTATAGGTCAATTCTTCTAAAAAACAAAAGATACAATGCTAGAAGTCCATAGAGAAAAATGATCACTAAGACAGAAGACTCTAAAATTTGCTAATCCAAGAGTGTGTATAGAATGAGACATACTAATCAAAGAACACATACTTCAAAATGAGTAATGACCACAGAAAGCACACACATATTAACATGTAATGGATATTCTCATCAATTCCAGTATGTACGAAGAACTATTTTAAAAAAAATTTCAAGCTTGCAAAACCATACTAAGAAAATCTTTTTGATTTTTTGTGTTTTTTGTTTTTTTTTTTAAAAAACAAAGCAAGATAGAAAATGAACAAGCACACATTAAAAGACTCAAAAAAAAAAAAAAAAAAAAAAACAGAGAAACCCAAAAACTAAAATAACTAAACAAATTAACACAAGTCAAGTTTTCTCACCCAAACTGCTTTAGTATGAACAAAGTTGTGAGAATGGCAGTTCTTAGGTGGTGTCTTGACGTTATGGCTCCCTTCCCTTCAATGAGAACCCCTCTTGACATGGTTTCCAACTTCCTATTCCTAGGTCTAGGAAAACACAATCTTTGTTTATGTTTGGTCTTAAGCATATCAAAATAACGAGGTCTAATATGACCTTTAACCTCATTACCACCAAAGAAGTGTCTCCTACCCCGCGACATGTTGGAATTTCTTCTATCTCTATGAGACACTCTCCCATGCAACTTATAACAATAAGAGCGAATATGACCATGCATACCACAATGATGACAAATAAAAACCGAGTGTACCTTCTTTTTTTTGACCTTACCAACTCTAGGAAGTTTGAGAAGTCCATTCTCATGTTGAATTTTTTGTTCACCCTTTCCTTGAGTTCTTGTATCATGAGATGTAGAAGCACTCTGTTTTTGTTCTTTCTTACCACCAAAGCCAATGCCACTCTTGTCGGAACAAATTTGTTGAGACCCAATGATATTGTCCAAAGTCTTTGATCCTCTGTTCCAAAGACCAATGGTAGCCATAGTACGCTTAAGTTCTTCCTCTTTCTTGATCATTAATTCTTCCAAAGCAACTTGAGATATCTCGAGAGTTTCAATCTTTTCTCCATATGTTGCATAGATTTGCTGTAGCTCATTCCTCTCTGTCTCACAAGTCAAGAGTTTTGCACAAAG